TTGATGGATGTATGTGTGCTCATCAAGTTCATCCTGTACATTCCATGGTTTTCTTTGACTCGACCTTTCGGTCCTCAAGAAGATTTTTTTTCTCCCTTCCCATCATGACGAACTTCAACTTTCATTGTACCAACAAACTTATAACACAAGGTAACAACGTAAGGAAGACAGCAATTTTGACCTTCGCGGCTCTGCTTCAACAACCGCTGCAAGATTTCGTCCAAAAAACAACCACTGCAAGACAAATGGACAAGTGAAAGGACTCTGTATTTTACTTTAAGAGTAAAATAGAATAAGACTTGTTACAAAGACAAGGTGAAAGAGAAGTTGTTGAAGTACTCCGGGTGCCCCATGATTGAGCTCCTCTGACCAAGGAGGCCCGTCATTTTTGTCGCCACGACACATGCAGGTTCTGGGTTTTGTTGCTACCTGGCATATCAACCTTGGAGATTAGTTTTCTCATCCGGCAACCAATCGATGGCTGCTGATGTTGAGGTGTTAATATTATCCCTGGCAGATCCGTCCCAACTTCGGACCATAGATTAATTTTGTCCAATTGCGCTCTGTTAATACTTAATACTGGTCTGATGTAGGTGCAATCAGTGATAAGTCATGCGATAGACAGATATTTAGCACGTTTTTGACTGAATGCTACAGCAGACTAACATTTACCTCTCCAGTGACTCATCAATCGTTCTCGACACCATAATTAACCTGTGCGATCCTCCTAACATGCAGTACTAGTTTTTTTCTCTAGTTCTTTGTTATCCTTTTTTTTCCGCAAAAGCTTTGTTCTCCTTGAGAGAACTGTTAAAAAGTACTCACTGTGTGCCGTGAATCGACCCTTGCGTTGTGAATGGCAAAATTGTCATGGCGAATGATGTAGTATCTCTTATGGAGTGGACGGTTCCCTAAATTCATTTTGTATAAACAGGGAGACGGGTAGCGTGTGCTAAATAATTTCTATCTAGTTTTTGTTTGACTGATGCTGAATCTTGTGAACGCACACTGTTTATTGGCTAAATCATAGTATTCCTTATTTAGGGGGCGGCTACTACGTCTTAGTTGTACATCGCTATCTTTTCTGCTTTCCTACGTTAGACTGCAATTCCATGATCCATTTGATAGAAACAAGTGAATTAATTTACTAAATATGATAATTTCGAAAATAATTCCCTAGACGTGCTTATTTAATACAATTGCTGTCTAATTCATACTGCCTTTGTGATGGGTTTTTATGTGCCATATCATCTAATGATTTATCCTCTGTTTTAGATTCTGGTACTGAAACAGCAAGATGGTGAACTTCGGGAAGAAGTTGATGGCAGATCAAGTAGAAGAATGGAAAGGGTATGTTTGTCTTGAAGTCCTTCACAAGTCTAACAAATTTCCTGTTGTTATCTTATGAGTTATTTTATCTTTCTGTTGTTAGGTACTATATTAACTACAAATTGATGAAGAAATTGTTAAAGCAATACGTTCAACAGACCCAAATTGGTGGCAAAGATTGCGAGCAAGTTCTTAAGGAGTTCTCGAGGATTCTTGATGATCAGGTATGCAGAGAGTGATTTCTCTTGAAATAATCATACATACAAATTTTTAAGCTACTTGTTCATTTGGTCTATCGTATCCTACACCACGAGCTTAGTGTCTTGAAATAGCATACATTGCAATTAGCTAAAGTTCTTTGGTGTTACTAAATTCAGATTGAAAGGATCGTGCTCTTTCTGCTGCAACAACAAGGCCACCTCTCTAGAAGGATTGAGGAATTGGGAGCACAGCGTGCTGCCATTATGCAGCAGGTTGATACATCAAGAGTTTTCCAACTTCGTGAGGATTACAGAGATGTTGGAAGAGATCTCGTAAAGCTTCTCCGCTTTGTTGACATGAATGCTACCGGTCTAAGGAAGATACTGAAGAAATTCGATAAGCGGTTTGGCTATAAGTTTACAGATTATTATGTCACCACTCGTTCAAACCATCCTTATTCACAGCTTCAGCAAGTCTTTAAGCAAGTGGTAATTTTCTGGCATCATACGTTGGCAACAGGTTTTTCTTCTTCTTTTCCAGCAGCTAATCAGCATTTCTGCAACTTATCTTGCGCTTCTATCGATACAGGGAATTGTAGCCGTTGCAGGTGCTTTATCACGCAACCTTGCATATCTGGAACATGAGCATCGAGGAAGCTTTTTATCCATATATGATAACCCATCTGTTGTGCTGCAGGTAATGTATTTCCACGGGTCCACTCTCTTTCAGTTCTATTTGTTGTACGGTTTTAAAAGTGTGTTGTGATTATTTTCTTTTATGTTCAGGACCCTATCATAGACCAGGTAAACCATGCAGTACAGAAACTCACACACGCGACGAGTTTTATGCAATACTTGGGACAACACGCACTTATCGTCCAAGACGACACACCCAGTGGATCGGAGGATAATGTCGATGATGAGAGCTACCATTTCATGTCCCTGATGCTTAACCTAGTGAACACATTTCTTTATATGGTGAACACATATATCATCGTCCCGACCGCAGACGACTACTCAGTGAGCCTTGGAGCCGCCGCGACAGTTTGTGGCATAATCATTGGATCGATGGCGGTCGCTCAGGTGTTCTCTTCGGTTTATTTCAGTGCCTGGTCGAATAGGTCATACTTCAGACCTCTAGTATTCAGCAGCATTATGCTATTCTCTGGGAATCTGCTGTATGCATTGGCATATGACCTGAACTCCTTGACAGTTCTCCTGATTGGCCGGATACTATGCGGGTATGCAGATTTCTTTTCTCACTTCGACAAACTTACTGTTATGAATTCGTTTTTAGTTTCTCGATCAGACTTCAGACCACATGTCACCATTCTTTATGATTTGAGATTTTCTGAAGTAGCTCCTTTTGTCATACTGACAACAGGTTGGGTTCTGCAAGAGCTGTGAACCGTAGGTATATCAGTGACTGCGTGCCTCTCAAGATCAGGCTCCAAGCCTCTGCAGGGTTCGTCAGTGCTAGTGCTCTTGGAATGGCATGTGGCCCTGGCCTTGCTGGTTTTCTTCAGACAAAATTTACGATATACTCGCTGACTTTTAACCAGAGCACATTGCCTGGATGGGTCATGTCCGTTGCTTGGCTTCTTTACTTGGTGTGGCTGTGGTTTTCATTCAAAGAGCCGGAACACTTCGCTAAGGCTGCAGCCGAGGCTGCAGCCAGAACACCGCAGCCTTCTGAATCTGGTAAGCTCTCAGCCCACAGTAGTAGCTTTGCTAGTGCAAAATGTTATATTTTTTGGAAGAACAAAATGTTCTGTTTGAAAACATAAACTACGCTGGAACTCATCCTTGTACGATAACAGTGTGTGCTCCACCACAGGCATTATGTAACATCGTCAGAAGTTGTTCTAACACGAAGTTTACTTCTTGAGAAAATAGGTCATCAAGAAAGTGCTAATTTGGAGGAAGGTCTAGCACAACCTCTGCTTCTAGGTTCAGAAGAGAGGCTGGATGATATTTCGGAGGATAATGATGATGAAGATGATAAAAGTTCCCATGAGCCAGCAACATCATTTGCTTCAGCATATAAATTGCTGACACCCTCTGTGAAGGTTTGTTTTTCGCCTAACTGCTCTTTTTGTTTTCCCTGAACTCAAGCATGCCAAAAAGGAAACACATTATCTCCATAGTTTCATTCATACAAAAAATTCTGAACTCCATGACGTGAGGTATGGTGTCTTGTTAAAAATAATTTTATTCTAATTACTAGAAGGTAAGTTGGCATCGACAAAAAATTAAAAAGACTGTCTTGTGTATTTTGCTTATCTACTGAAACTACTGTCTTGTGTATTTTCCTTTAATAACTTTATATGAATGGTGATTTCTCAGGTACAACTATTGATATACTTTATGCTCAAGTATGCGATGGAAATTTTGCTCTCCGAATCAAGTGTCGTCACCACATACTATTTTAATTGGGATACAAGTGCTGTGGCCATCTTTTTAGCGATTCTTGGATTGACTGTTCTTCCAGTAAATGCCATTGTCGGGAGCTACGTTACGAACTGGTTTGAGGACAGGTAACTTTTCTTAACAAGGCATACCAGTGTATATATGAAATCCTTCTATTTTCTAAGTATTCTACTGGTCATATTGTTGTTCTCGCCTTCTTTGAACCATGCAATACGAATACAAATGAAATGTGCTATTGCTCTTACATTGTCAAAATCATCAATTACATTGTCAAACTTCTTTCTTTCGCAGGCAAATTCTGGCGGCATCTGAAATCATGGTTCTGATTGGCATTATCATGAGCTTCCGTTACACGCCTCACTACTCGATTCCACAGTACGTCTCTTCGGCTCTCATCACGTTTGTATTCGCAGAGGTGCTGGAAGGTATGTACACCATAACCATTCAGCTCAGCAGCACACGCAATATATCTGAAACAACCGTAATAAACCTCTCCATTGCTGACGATCAAATGCAGGAGTAAACCTATCCCTGCTTTCGCGGGTCATGTCGTCGAGGCTGTCGCGAGGGACCTACAACGGCGGCCTCCTCTCAACGGAGGCCGGGACGCTGGCCCGTGTGGTCGCGGACGCGACGATCACCGCGGCAGGCTACCTAGGCACGGACATGCTCCTCAACGTCACCCTGCTGCCGCCTCTCGTGATCACCATCGTCTCCATCGTCGCAACGTTCTGCACATACAACACCCTCTACTGAGGAGGCTGATCAGTAAGACCTTTTCTACTCTCTGAAGAATGTACAGACAGTGAAAATGGTTCCCGCCCACATTGGGCTGGGTTGTTCAAGTAGTGGCGATATTTGTTTGTAGACTTCATCAATCAACTTCAATAAACTGTGTAAATGTTGGTCTGTTGCACGTCCATGTAAGAAAAAGGCGTTGTAGTGCAATAGTACATGCATCAAACAGATGTAAATTAAGTTGCTTTTTTATTTGTATCCCTGAACTTGCGAATTCAGATGCATTTAGTGTGTGTTGGAAATACAACATGGATATGATTTCTGGCGCACACTGATAAATTTGAAGTGACAAGGTATTTCTGTACTCCTCTAAGCAATCCTGAGGCTTTAATACTGAGCTCCCAACGCCCCCTGAGCTCCCAACGCCCGGCTCCCGGAGTAGATGATCTAACTCCACGCGGGGTGCCAAATGCAGGCGCTGGGGCGTGTTAAAGAAACGTCGCTGGGCCGGGCCGTTTCGAGCGCGCCAGATCGGCATGCGTCAACCGTTTAGCTGGGCCATGCCAAATCCTCACCCGCTGACTCGCTCCGGCTCGGCGGTAGGTCGCGACCAAACAGGGAAGAGGGCGCGTCACCTTTGACACGGCCGCTCCGCACGGCCACGGAGATGAGCTCACTGGTTGTCTGGTTGCTCCGGTCGTTGAGTCCTTTTCCTACCGCTTCTTTACCACGCTCATGGCGTGCTCACCGCGGCGTGCTGTACCCTAGCACACTGCACACGTACCGTGGGATGTGGTCGCATGCGTGCAACAAGTGTGCATGCCGGGTCGTCGGGCGATTTACCGGAGCACGGCGACATAAAGGGCGCATGGTATCCCACGGGCTGGTCACACAAGAACCAAGCTCCAGCGCTCTCAGTCCAACCTCGTCACGCTCGACTTGCACGTAGTCGCCATGGCTTCCGACCAGCCGTTCGCAAGAGCACTGGTGATCATCTGCGCGATCCTGTGCTGCTCGCCACAAGGTGACTGGTTTAGTTCTCCGTGTCCATCATGCATTGTGCCATTTGTGTTACTGATTGATGAGCGTGTGCATGCCGTGAAACAAAAGCAGCGAGAGGAGTGAACTACACGTTCGCCCGGGACGCGACGCGGGCGCCGGCGGTGTCGTACTACGACTACATCATCGTGGGCGGCGGCACGGCGGGGTGCCCGCTCGCCGCCACGCTGTCGCAGCGCTTCCGCGTGCTCCTGCTGGAGCGCGGCGGGTCCCCCTACGGCGACCAGCGGGTGGAGAACATGACCCACTTCACGGCCACGCTCGCCGACACGTCCGCCGGGTCGCCGGCGCAGCGGTTCGTGTCCGAGGACGGCGTCATCAACTCGCGCCCGCGGGTGCTGGGCGGCGGCAGCTGCATCAACGCCGGCTTCTACACGCGCGCCAGCGACGAGTACGTGCTGGACGTCGGGTGGGACCTAGCGGCGGCCAAGGCGGCGTACCGGTGGGTGGAGGATGTGGTGGCGTTCCACCCCGAGCTCGGCCCCTGGCAGGGCGCGCTGCAGAGGGGGCTCATGGAGGTCGGCGTGGCGCCGGACAACGGCTTCACGTTCGACCACATCGATGGGACCAAGGTTGGCGGCTCCATATTCGATGACGAGGGCCGGCGGCACACGGCCGCCGACCTGCTGCGGTACGCGCGCCCCGAGGGCATCGACCTGCTGCTCCGGGCCAGAGTGGCCAAGATCCTCTTCAATGTCGGAGGTCAGAGCTCTATCAGTCAAAGTTCGTTTTGTGTTTACGGCCAGGCAACATGCATGCACGCGGCATTTTTGCGTGCCGACCGAACTGAAATTTCGTCACCCGCGCTTGTTTCGCGCCAGGGCGCCGGGCACGGCCGGTGGCGCACGGCGTCGTGTTCCACGACTCAAGAGGGCGGATGCACAAGGCGTACCTCAACACCGGCCGCCGCAACGAGATCATCCTCTCGGCGGGCGCCATGGGCAGCCCGCAGCTGCTGATGCTCAGCGGCGTCGGCCCCGCGGACCACCTGCGCTCCTTCAACATCACCCTCGTGCTGAACCAGTCGGCGGTCGGGCAGGGCATGGCCGACAACCCCATGAACGCCATCTTCGTGCCGTCGCCTTCCCCCGTCGAGGTCTCCCTCATCCAGGTCGTCGGCATCACCCAGTTCGGCAGCTACATCGAGGGCGCCAGCGGCTCCAACTGGGCCAACCCGCGCCACCAGGGCTCCGGCGGCAACCGCCGGCCGCCCCGCAACTTCGGCATGTTCTCTCCACAGGTACGTACACATTGCAAGTGACATTGTCACAGCTTGCCAAATGATCAGTGGAACGGAACATCTGTGATCCCCGCGTGCTCTTGTTCCTGCAGACTGGGCAGCTGGCCACGGTGCCCCCGAAGCAGCGCACGCCGGAGGCTATCGCGCGCGCGGCGGACGCGATGAGCCAGCTCGACGACTCGGTGTTCCGTGGCGGCTTCATCCTGGAGAAGGTCCTTGGGCCGGCGTCCACGGGCCACCTCGAGCTGCGGAACCTTAACCCGGACGACAACCCGGCGGTGACGTTCAACTACTTCTCGCACCCGCAGGACCTCCGGCGCTGCGTCGAGGGCTTGACGCTCATCGAGCGCGTCATCCAGTCCAAATCCTTCCAGAACTTCACGTACCCCTACTTCTCCATGGAGGAGCTGCTCAACATCACGGCGGAGTTCCCCGTCAACCTGCTGCCTCGGCACGACAACGACTCCAAGTCTCTGGAGCAGTTCTGCAAGGACACCGTCATGACCATCTGGCACTACCACGGCGGCTGCCAGGTCGGCAGGGTCGTCGACGCCGAGTACCGGGTGCTCGGCGTCGACGCGCTGCGAGTCATCGACGGCTCCACGTTCAACGCCTCGCCGGGAACCAACCCGCAGGCCACCGTGATGATGCTCGGCAGGTAATGGCCCGTTTTTGCTCCTTTGGGGTACATGTCATTTTGGATGACCATCCCTAAATGTATAGCACTTTTTAGCCAAGGTCCTAGACTCCTATAGTGGGTACTGATTCGGTCTCAATGGTTGCATTTTTAGGTCGGATCCTATCAATCTCTCTTTCTCTCTTAAAAAATAATGATCATGTCTGTAACTTGACAGGTATATGGGGGTTAAGATGCGAGACGAGAGGGTGCGTGCTGAAGGGTTAAGGAGGAGAAAACTGTAGTCCACTTGACGAAGATTGGCAGGCACATTATGTATTTGTAACTGCAGTATGTGAACAATTGGAATGAGTTGCGCGTCATTATTGGAAGTGTGTGTTCATTTGTACGGTTATCAAGACGAAATCTGTATTGTCCGGAGAAAAAATAGATTTGTGTTTAAGAAGAAATCTTGTTCAGAAACGTTTGCTACTGACTTACTTTTGGTCAAATCTTGTTCAGAAACGTTTGCTACTGACTTACTTTTGGTCAAATCTTGTTCAGAAACGTCATCTACTCACCCATCTCTTCTTAGTTTTCTGACCAAAGAAAAACAGCAAAGTGTCAACTCCAACCCCCCAAAGATGGGTCTCGAAAATGAAAGAAGAATCCCGTAGTGGGGACTGAGCTTTTTAGAGGGCACAACCAAGAACGTAAAAGGGAAAGGGAGATGTTGGATGCCAAGAGGATATCCATGGTTTAAAACCCTTTGAAAATCTAGCACGTATATGCCTCCCCAGCTGGATTTCTGCCCCCTATAAATCCCGTGATGCGGCAGAGAGGGAGAGCAGCAAGGTCAAGGCAAGGAAGAAGAAGAAGAAGAAGAAAGGAAGCGACTGTTCTGAACAATCAAGATTCAGTAGTGAGATGTCTAATTAAGCAATCCAGTTTCAGGGCTCCTCTTTATTGGCAGGGAGCGTGTGAGGCCATGTAGCTCCATTCAGCGCTCTGCCAAAGGAGAGTTGCCCTGTAACTGGAAATAGCTTAAGGTTCAGGGATTGTGGGTATCGGCGTTGACAGCTTCGGGCCTTCAGCTACACTGCTTCCAGCCTCTCGCTGCAGTGTGGCACCGGTGAGTCGTGCAATGGTCTTTGATCTCTGTAAATTGATCGGATTGCTTGCTTGCTTGTGTTCCCGCATGTGAAAGGTAATGGTATCTTACTGAATGTCTGCATATTTGTTGCTCACTGCTACTCTTGTAAGAAAAAGGGAAGAACACGGGGGATCAGCCGGGAGGTGCAGGAGAAAACAGCACGCCGAAATGCTGAAAGAAACAGATATTGCAGCTTCTTTGTGACGACAAGAACCTTTTCGTGGTTCCCGATAGTGGAGACAATGTTCGAGGGAAGGAAATAGTGGAGATAAGAGAAGCTATAGCTAGTTGGATTGGTGTCATGTCCTTTAAAAAAAACGAGAACTGTTTTTTTACCGATGAGCACGGTACAAATGTAATTTTCCACCAAGGCCCCTGAACATGGAAAAAACACTACCCTTAACTCCAATAAACGGCCGTCGATGAGAACCACCCGCACCAGAAAGATTTTCGCTGCAGCAAGAAATCATCAAAGCGAGTAGGAGGACTCCACCTGTGGAATTCCCTGGAGGAATTTGAAGCCACCAAGGCTGTCTCCAGGAATTTGGAACTCTGGGGCTAAATACAAAATGTGTCCTACAATATAAGAAATCGATATAACTTGAAAGATGTGTTATTCCATACAATATTTTAAGATATATCGAATATTAATGCTAAAAGAGTAAAGGTAGTACTAAATCAAGAAATTGGTACGGTTAGAAAAATCAATAATCTGACCTCATGTCCTGCAGACAAACATCGGAATGGATGAACGGAGCAGGGCAGTCAGAGGGGATCGGTTAATCGATTAATCAGTTAGGGTGTCGGTGACGGCATAGGCGATTGGGGGAACATGCTGGTAGGCGATCACCGGTCAGGCATGGTCATGTGCGCGATCGTGGAAACACGCATGGATAACAGGAACTAACCGTGGCAATTGAGGGCCTATTCGACACCCCAGCTCTCGGCTCCGCCAACTCCACCACCAGAGCCGGGCCGAACGGCCTAACTCCGCAGAGTCGAGAATGAGAAGTTGGCGGTGGTCATAATGCAAATTTTGAGGAGCCAGAGTTGACGATTCCAGAATCTCAAAAATCAAAGCAGATAGGGTTGACCAAAATTACGGGCAAATGACACCGCGAAGTGGACGTAATAGTTCAAATATTTGATCCCTATGCAATGGGGTCCTAACTGCCATGTTGGGCACCCGAAGATAGGCATTGTTGCGACCTGCACTACCTCCCTCACACTCACCATATCCCACTACACGCACCCGTTACTGCCCTCGCTACCAAACACTCCCCTTGCACTCGTCGCCGCCCTCGATCTCCGTTGCTGCCCTCCCTGAGCACCCCATCTGATTCCCAAAGGACTACTCCGACCACCTCCTCCCAGCACCTCCCTAGGCACCATCTCCAAGCACCTCCTCTCCCTCCCCGACCATATCTGCCCGAGAACCTCCTTTGCCTCCTCGAAGGTGAGATGTGTTGTGGATGTGGTTGTTGACTTGTTGATGTGTATGTGTCTGTTGTGTGCCGTGGATGCGGTGATATTTATGCTAGTACATGTTCTATCCTACCAGTACCATGTGTATATGACGACAAGAACTAGTACATACATTGCTATGCATACGACAACAACAACAACGTAAAAAAAGCTATAATACCTAAATAGTTCATCCCCACCATGCTATTTCGCTTGACATGCAGCCTATCCACCTCACCACATGTGCCCCACACATGCCACCTCATCTTTGAAAAAAATAATCTTTTATTCTATTCGTCTTATGAAGAGCTATATTATTCTCAATGGCACGAGTAATCACGCATGACTATTCGTCTTCATCTTCCATTCACTTACTAACAAGAGAGACAACAATTTATGAAAAAAACTTTTATTCTATTCGTCTTTGTCAAGAGCTATATTATTCTTAGTGGCATGAGTAATCACTCGGAATTACCCGTCTTCATCTTGCATTTACAGATTAACAAGAGAGACAACAGTTCATGACCTCTTTCATTAAATTCCTCTGCAAACTGATGGGAGATGTGAACAACCCGTTCATCACCTTCACCCATACCCAATCCAGACGCCCTCAACTCGTGGACTGGGATGCCGGCCTCCATGCTCCTCCATGCCACGACCTTCAACAGAAGGCCTGCTCGACCATCTTGCATTGCACTACAACGCAAGGTGCTCTTTCCTCCCCTATATTCTCCCTCTGCTTTCTTTCATAAGCAAAATCTCTCAGTTTTCACCTCCACTATCTCTCTCTTTCTCTCTCTCTCTCTCTCTAATTTTTTGCAGGCGCTCAACACAATTGGTGTAGACTGGAGTGACTTGCACAAATTGGTTAGTCGATAGTAATCCCATCTTTATTCTCCTTTTTCTAGCAAGGGGACTCATAGTTTTTGTTTCTTCATGTTTTTCAATGGATGTCAATCTTCTACTCTTATAGTATTCATGTGCACTCTCTGTTGGCTGTATTAATTCTGACTGTTATGCTAACACACTCCTTTGTGATGATGAAGCGGAAGGACGATTTCATAGATGAAGTGGTTGCTATGCTAATACACTTCTTACTGGTGTGCTTTAATGAACTTTTAATCTAACCTGTTAGACAGAGCATCTTCTACTTGTATGCGCATGTTCAATTTCTATTGTAATTGTTTTTGCATGGATATTCGTTGACGGATGAAAAATGCACAATATCTTAAAAGCTATATTTTCTTCCGCTAGCTACTATCATTAGTGTCATTCATTGACGAACAGCAACAAACTTCTATGTATACGACAACAACAACGACAACAACAACAACAACAACAACAACATAAAAATGCTATTTGTTCTATCATATCATGAATAATTTTGCTATGTTCATAAAATTGCTATGTGTGTAGGACGTCCCTTCAATTATGCGAGCATTTGTTTAGGTTTGAGATGTGCACACTTTTTTATGTATACGAGAAGCTCACATGATTCTTATAGATAAGTGGATGCATAATTGGTTGATGAGAACACTAGGATTCTTACCAAGTGTAATGCCCCGAGACCGATGCTCCAGAAGACTTCCAGTTATTCCGAGTTTCGCCGTGTGTTTCTTTTGTGCTTGCTCTTTTATTTTTGCTTTGCATCATGTCATCTCTTGCATTGCATCATTTCATCATGCCATCATGTCATTTAATTTTTAAAACTCTTTTAAATAAATTGTATGGATTTTTCGATCCATTTAAATCGAGGGATATTCACATGGTGATTTCTCTTTAAAACATATTCAAAGTCTCCTACTATTATTAGGGAGCTATAATAAAATTATTCCATTTATTTGGAATTAACCATAACCCACTTGCAAAATATCCCATGCCGTTGTTATCTCAATTCTTGGTCCCCAACCTTGCCAATAATTCTTTTGTCATTTTCCGGAGCTCCACCAAAAATCCGAACATTTTTGGACCTTCCTTTTATCAAGTCCTAGTTCAAACCATTTGAATTAAATTCAAATAAGTTTGAATTTAAATCTTGCATTCGTGTCTCTTTTCTATTTTTCCTGGACCGAGCTCATTTTTGTGAGCCCGGGAAAATTATCCGCATGCCAATGTCATTTCTCTAACCTTTTTCCTTTATCTCTTTTCCTTCTTCCTATTATTTTCTGTTTTGGAAAATAAAAGAGTAGAGAGAAGAGAGAGACAGCCCAGCCGCCACTTGTATCCATCTAGGCCAGCCGCAGCCCACTACCTAAGCCGGCCCAAGGCCCAGCCGCGCCCCCTCAGTTTCCCCGAGGTGGCCCCGCAGGCAGCTCAGTTCGGACCAACACTCGAAGGAGCACTGGCCCGGGGGGGTTAAAATAAAGATGACCCTTGAGTCTGCAGAACCCAAGGGAAAAAGGCTTAGGTGGCAAATGGTAAAACCAAGGTTGGGCCTTGCTGGAGGAGTTTTATTCAAAGCGAACTGTCAAGGGGGTCCCATAAATCACCCAACCGCGTAAGGAACGCAAAATCCGGGAACATAACACCGGTATGACGGAAACTAGGGCGGCAAGAGTGGAACAAAACATCAGGCATAAGGCCGAGTCTTCCACCCTTTACCAAGTATATAGATGCATTAATTAAATAAGAGATATTGTGATATCCCAACATAATCCTGTCCATCATGGAGCAATCTTCAACTTCATC